TAATTATTGTTTGTTAACATGAAATATGATCAGCTGAGTTTATAGGAAACATGAAATTAAACTATTAGTTTGAACAGATTCTGTTTATTATCAGATCTATTTTATGAAGAAAATGAAAAAACATTTTCCCATGAAATCATCAGTTTGTTGTTTTTATTAATTTAGAAAGTAAGTGAACCCCATGAATCTGCCTGGTTTCATTTCCACATTAATTCAACTTGGGTATGAAATCGACAGGTAACAAAAGGTCTGTATCCTCAGGAAACATGGGATTTCATTTCATTGTTATGCTGATGATTGCCAGATTTATTTGCCCCTGAGCCAGAAGGATGTCCATTCCATCAAACATCTCCTGGCATGTCTAGGTGATATTAAAGCTTGGTTGGCCTTGAACTTTTTAAATTTTAATGAAAGGAAAACAGAGGTGATGGTGTTTGGACCCAGTGGCTCCTGTGAGTCCTCCTCTGTTGACCTGGGACCCTTGGAGGTGTATTTTAAACCTGTTATTACAGATCTTGGTTTTAAGGTGGACAGTGATTTCAAATTGGACAGCCAAATCAGAGCCGTGGGTAAGTCCAGTTTTTATCATTTAAGGCCATTGGCATCAGTGAAATCTTTTCTTTCCAGGCAGCATTTTGAAACAGTGATCCACGCTTTTATTTCGACTCGACTGGATTACTGTAACTCACTTTATCTGGGAGTCAGTCAGTCGCTGCTCTCACGTCTGCAGCTAGTACAGAATGCTGCTGCACGACTTTTGACAGGAACTCAAGAGAGAGAGCAAGTGACCCCTGTCCTGGCCTCACTTCACTGGCTGCCTGTATATTTTAGGATTCATTTTAAAATTCTTATGTTTGTTTTTAAATCACTGCATAATCTTGCCCCGACGTACCTCTCTGAGCTTCTTCACCCCTACATACCCTATCGGTCTCTCAAGTCAGCAGATCAGCTGCTCTTGGAGGTACTGAGATCAAGAAGGAAGCTCAGAGGGGACAGGGCTTTCTCCGTCATGGGTCCTAAGTTATGGAATGACTTGCCTTTGCACGTTAGAGAGGCCCCTTCACTGTCCACTTTTAAAGCTCATCTTAAAACCCATCTATTTTATTTGGCTTTCAACTCCAGCGGGATCTAGTTTTAAATTGTATGTTTGTTTTTAAACTGTAAGAGTTTTTATTTTTTTAATTGTTATGTTGTGTTTTAATGTACAGCACTTTGTATCAGCTGTGGTTGTTTTAAAGTGCTTTATAAATAAACTTGGTATGGTATGGTATTTATTAACAGCTCAATCATATTAATGCTTAATTATCATAAGCAGCTATTTTAAAACTGTATCTAACAGCAGATGTGTTTGGTTTAGTAATCTGACAAAAATAATCAGATTATTAGTGAACCTGTTCTGATGTTAATAAACTCAGGAACCATTTTGGGTAGTTAATGTGCATCAGAGAGTAATAAATGGGTAATTAATGAGTAAATAAATATTATCTGACCTGCAGCGGCGCAGCCACCGAGGGTGATCAACAGCAGCACTGAATGGAGCCTCATCTCTCTCTCTCTTTCTCTCTCTCAGGCTGAAGCCAGAGTGAATCTGGCTGAAGGAGAAACTTCCTCTTGAAACAAACTCACCTCCTACTCCTCTTCCTCCTCCTCCTTCTCCTCCTGTTCTTCCTCCTCTTCTGGTCACATGATCTGATTCTTCTCATCATACAGTTCTCAAAGCTCATAAGCGACTCCATAAACAACGTTTGTGATGTTTTAACTCTGAGAAACCGACCAGTTCAGGTTTGGAAAAGACAGGACCAGAAGTTCATCTGTGACGACCTGGAGTGACTAGAGTCCAGATACATTGAGGGGTCATGGCTGAATTATCTGGTTATTCAATATGAATTAGTTAAAATCATTTTGCTGCTCTGAGGACCTGATCAGCCCAAAACTGAAATAAATAAATAAATAAATAAATAATGATTTGAATTACAAATAGTTAAAAATAATCCTGATTCTGTTTTCCTGTTTTTCTTTATAATTTATTATATTGAAGAGTGATGAAATCTGAATATGATTCTCATGTCTCTATGAATCTGAGATGATTGTAAACATTATGAGAATGATGATCTCAGGGAAGACAGGAAGGGGCGGGGCAACAGGGTCAGATCCAGCATCAAGGAGGAAAGTCCGTGTCCCAAATTCTCCACTTCCTGATTTGGGAAGTGGAGATTTTAGGTCCTATTTTCACCCTTACACCAAACCCACCTTCATGCGAACTTTGGTGAAATGTATTACCCACAATTAATTGCTGCATGTGACTTTTGGAATCAAAAGGCGAAATTATGGTAATGTTTTGTTTCCCCCCACCCCATCTTTATAGAAAATTCATTCTTAAAAAAAATAGTAAGGCACACATTAGTAATAAAAAAGAGATATGATCAACTGAGCAGAAAAAGAAGAAATAAAAATAATTTAGTTTCCAACTAAGGAAACTAAAACAAAATGTAGTGAATGCAAGAGAAAATTCAAATCTTAATTTAGGATATTAACATATTGGTATAAAAATTGGGCTTTTGTGATGTTGATGGAGGTGATTTTTAAAAACCAGTATTTGTGGATAAAAACTTAGCCAGAGGATTAAATCGTTAATATCATAATTCAACTCTACATCCCTGCTGGAAGACTGAATTTTGTTATAAGATGTAATAGATTTCTTTCACTTCTCAAAATATTTCTTAACATTCATGAAGTTGCAAAGGAAAAGAAGTTTATCTCAAAACCTCACTCATAGAATTGATATTACAGGGAATACTTCATGCATAATAATGAAATTAATATACCGCGATTCATATTTGTATAATATATTGACACCAACATGGATGAGAGAGAGAGATGGTGTGCGCTGAGCTCTGAAATTTTTGATAAATGGATGAAAATGAATGGCTGAGATCCTGAGTTTTCCTTGTGACACCAGTTCGCTCTGAAGAATCTTGACAGAAAACCGTAAAACTTTAGAGAAATTTTGCAAACATTTTACGGGAGCAGGCATTCTGTGCGATGTCATGACCGACTTTACCAATAGAGCGATAGTTGTGGGCGTGAGAGAGAGAGTTAAAAAGTCAGAGGTCCACCCTAAAACACACTCTAAATTTCAGCAGTTGGAAATTTTGCTCGTTTTTCGCTAATTATGTCGCCATTTTTACTCGAAACCCCAATAAAAGTAATAGCCTGGATGTCGAGATCGAGCTGCACGCTTTGATTCATTTGAAATAAATAAAGGAACGAATAAATAAAGCTACAACTTCCATGCATTGCTATGGCAAGCACCAAATATGTTTCATTATACTACAATAAATAATTATATTGATAATGTTTTTATCATTTCTGTCCGTTTTGCTCCAAAAACCAAAGATTTAGTTGAGCTGAAGATAAGTTATCCTGACCGTGTGTGTGTGTTTTCCGTGGTTTAATCGAGTAGTAGAATCTGGCAGACAGTAGAAACTGCCAGTAGCTGGACGCAGCCTAGGCCGGCTGCAACAGCTCACACCTCCAGATTGTCTATGTGAGCGCAGACCTTTTGCCGTCAGGAAGAAACGTTCGCGTTATTGCTGTACAGTAATCCACCTCCATATCGCTGCAGCGTTAGCAGAACCAGATCCACAACCTCAAGATGAGCTGAGCTGAGCTTCAGGACCAAACTGCAGCTGTTTCTAAAACACACCTCAGAAATACGCAACACAGAAACGACAACGACGATGATGCGCTGCTTTCAGAAAACAACTATGGCAACACTTTATTTGAAGGGGTGTGCATAAGACTGACGTGACATTCATGAACACGGAGTGTTTATGAATGTTTATGACAATGGTCATTTAGTGTCGTTCTGTAAATAACATTTTTAATGCAACTTTTAGAGCAACTTTACATTAAACGTGTTATTTACCAAATGACACCTTATGACAACAGTTGTAAACATTCATGAAGATTTCATCATGTTATTTATGACAGTGTCGTGTCTTATGCACAGTGCTCACCCCTTCGAATAAAGTGTTACAACCATCACCATTTTAGTTTGAGGAACATCCATCCATTTTCTTACACCTTTGTCTCTGTTGGGGTCTGCAGGGGTGCTGGTGCCAATCTCCAACGAGACATTTTGGACGAGAGGCAGGGTCACCCTGGACCTTTTCGCCAGTCCATCGCAGGTTTGAGGAACATAAATGTCATTTATATCCTACAATAACTGGCAGAATAAAAATACTTTCCTTTATTTCCTGAATCTTAAGTAGATTCTAATGAGACAACCAGCAGATTATAACTCATCACATTTAACACAACCCAGTGTGTTATCCTTGGAGGTCATTTTAGTATTTTAATAAAAACTAAATGTTAATCTTTAGGCTGAACCAGAACCAGAACACAGCTAAAGTGAAACTGGCAACCCAGTTTGTGGTGTTGGCACCTGATCTGATTAGAAACCAGAAGCAGCTGCAGACAGAAACCCATAAACACAGAAAAACCTGAACCTGGTTCTGATTCAACTAAAGGGACATTCCACCTGATTACACAAAACCCGCAGCAGTTTAATCTAGATTAGAAACTAGATTGTTGTGCTGTGCTGTGGAATAATCTAGTGCAGGTCTGAAATCAGCTCTTCAATTAGAGCAGTTCAGAGATGATGAGGGTGAAAGTGGCTTTAATCTTCACCAGATTCTTCAGATGGTTCTGTGTTAAAGGGTCAATGTCAAAGCTAGCCTGATGTTAGCGAGCTAACTGGTTTATGCTAACAGCTTTCCATCATTTAACATGAACTGCTAAAGACTCTGGTGCTAAACAAATACTTCACATTTTAATCTTCATTTAGTTTTGAAAACCAGAAACTGATAAAGATTTGCCTCCAAGAACTCCTGAACTCACCTGAAGGAAGCAGACATGCTACCGAAAACTAGCAGCAGCATGACCCCGCGACACCCACCTTCAGAAGGTGGATCACATCTGCTGAATGAGACTGAGAAGCTGTTGGATATATTTTTATTGAAGCATTTAGTCCTGACCCGGTTCTGACCTGGGTCAGGACCAGGTCAGGAGCAGGTAATCTGAGTAGAGCTACACGGCGGGTATGACTGCGGATAAATCGGAGCCAGAGCTGCTTCTCTCTTTGTATTAGCAGGAAACATGGAGGCTCAGCTGTCTCTGATTGGTCTCGCTGCATCGGGGCGGGGCCAATGCAGGAAGTAACACCTTCACAGGCAGCTCTCCTCCTCTACCTCAGCAGGAGCTTCTGGTGGCGATGTCACTTCCTGTGACTCCAAGATGGCAGCCGGGTCTGACAGCAGAGGGCTGAAGGAAAAAAAAAAGACAGTCATCGCAAAGGAAACGCCACTGAGAAGACATGTGACATGCTCTACAGCTTCTTGCAGGAGTTTCACAATAAAAGCATGGATGGAAAAGGCCATCTGGATCAAGAACCAGAAGCTCTGCCAGGTTCTACTGAAGTAAAAAAAAAAAAAAAGTCTCTCCAGAACCAAGATGGCAGCAGACATACCTCTGACATCACTTCCTGCTAGCTGGGCCAGAACGCCGGATTTACAGAAAGACCCTTCACACGTACCTGACTGCGTCCAGCGCAGTGCTGCTGCTGGTTTCCATGGTGACAACAGGCATGATGTAAGTATTATGGGAGGGGCCTGAGTCCTCTGGTTCCGCCTCCAGCAGGCGCTCCTTCACGTCAGAGGAAGGACTTCCTGTGAAATGAATGCTGAGTTCAGCTTCCTGGAAGTGTGCGGTGCAGTGGGAGGGGTTTCTGTCCTCCTGGACGTCCGTCTCTGTCTCCGTCTCGGTCGTCCGGGACAGGCTGCGTCTGGACTGGAGGACGGCCGGGCCCTCTCCTCTCAGGAAGTCTTCAGTCAGCTGGGCGTACCGCTGAGGACCCAACACACAGAGGAGTGACGACCTGACACATGACTCGGACTGCTCATTCACGTCAGCTCACCTGTCGGTAGTCAGCTGGCAACATGTTGCCCACGGCAACAACCAATGATGAGAAAGATGGTCTGGAGAGAGGATCTTCATCCCAGCACTGCTTCATCACAGCATACCTGGAACCAGAAGACGTGTTGAGGCTTATTGATGCGTGTTGAGGCAGGTTGATGAGTGTTGATGAGTGTTAAGACGTGTCGTCGTACATGTCAGATGTAGCGTGTTCTGGTCGGTCCATTCTGTGTCCTCTCTTCAGAGCAGAACTAAACTGTCGGGTTGTAAGGAGGTCAGGATACGGGGTACAGCCTGCCACACAATACACCACCTCATGTAAACTGGTTACACTGGTTATACAGGGGTCTGTATACTGGTCAGTCTGAGTTACCCAGAGAGAAGATCTCCCACAGCAGGACTCCGTAGGACCACACATCGCTCTCAGAGCCGTAGATGTTCTGGAAGATGCTCTCTGGAGACATCCACCTCAGCGGCAGGAAGCTCTGAAACCAAACAGGCACAGGACACCTGAGCTACCTGGTTGATGATGTCATCAATCAGGGACCAATGTCTTGTGTGGGACTGACGTTTCTCCTGATGATGTAATCTTCGTCCTTCTGAAGGTCTCTGGCCAAACCAAAATCACAGATCTTCAGCAGCTTCCCCTCACAGACCAGGACGTTCCTGGCTGCCAGGTCTCTGTGGACACACTGAGGGACACACAACATGTGGACAACATGTCAGGCGGTAAAATGGTTCTAGAGACGCATGTGAACCAGGCAGTAAAACCATTCTAGAGACATCTGGGCCCAGATGTCCCAGGTGGGACTCTGGAGGGTCTTTGGTGCTTCTCCAAACCGTTTCATCCCAGTTCTTGAACAGAACACTTTCTGTTGGTCCAGAACACTGTTGGTCCAAACGTAAAGACTTTGCTGAAACATGTCTGGAGAAAGTCAGGAGGTCCATCAGGATCAGGGTTAGAGTTACAGACTATCCTGGAATAAATCCCTGGGTTATGTTGTGGTTGGTCAGACTGTAGCAAACATCCATCATTGTTAAGGACTCCAGCTGATCTTCTCTGGTTTTCATTCAAAGCTGAACAGATTCTTTTAAACCTTGTTTTTGATCTGGAGATGCTTCGTCCAGTTGGTGTGACATTAAAAAGACAAATTCAGCCGAGTCAAACTGAGCAGATGGGTTGATCAAGCAGGATGGAGGACAGTCTGGCTGCAGAAAGCAACATGGCGGTGGTCGTACCTTCCTGGAGGACAGGAAATCCATGGCCTGAGCGATCTGGAAGGAGAAACTGAACAGGTCTTCCATGGTGAGGACGGGAGAGTCGCTAAGGAGGAGCGATGGCGCCTTCTGGTGGTCTGAAAGAGAACAGCAGTGGTGATCATCAGTTCATTTGTTCCCGTTACCTGATCACATGACATCACCTGTGGGGGCGTGGCCTGTCCCCTGTTCAGTGTCTCTCAGCTCCTTCAGAGGGACATAACGTCCCCGCCCGTCTTGGTTCATGTCCATGTAGCCGCCGTCGCTGTTACTGTGGGTGAGAGACACTGAGCAATCACTGAGAGAGAGAGGTCAGAGGTCAGACGGTTGGCTCACCTCCTGCTGGGCATGTCCACCTGTCCAAATGTGTCTTTGTTCCTCTGCAGGCAGTTCAGCAGGTTACCAAGACGACAGAACTCAGTGATCAGGTAAACTGGACCTGGAACACAGAACGGACTTTATTCTGACAGAACAAACTCTGGATAAGGTCTGAGCACACCTGGACAGAACCAGGTAGACCCGGCAGAACATCTGGCTGAGGAGCAGTTCTGATGGTGAACCAGGATCTGGGTTTCAGGCTCCGCCCACTCCAGGTTATTTCCAGTATAATCTTTGGTTTCTTTCCTCCCAGGCTGATGAGACGATCACAGAGTTCATCTCTTCTTTACCTTTTTTTCAGCTTCATCCAAAGAAACTTCCATCTTATAAATTATGGAGTACTTAAACTTACCTAGCAACCCAGAACAGAAGCATCTATCTTAAATGCTTTATGAACTGTGGAGTATTTATTACTTTAGACACTCAACCAAGAATAGGAATAAAACCTATTAGAACAAAAAGATCCAGAGGATTTCACTCAACCCAGAGCAGGAATTAGAACAAAATCATAACCCAGAGAAACGACTCATTATCTTAGATCCACATTCACAACCATCTACTTTATAGACTCAAGCATGGAGAACCAACACTTAGTTTTATCAGACCAAGAATCCAGAGAAAACCCGACTGGTTTATAAATTCTTATTCTTATTAAACATGGACCAGAGCTAACCAATATGTAGCTCTATACTTTTACCTTTTTGCAAACTTTTTATACTTTTGTTTTTCTTTAGTTATTTTGTTTATATTTTTCTCTAATTCATGTAAAGCACTTTGAATTGCCTTGTTGCTGAAAATGTGCTATATAAATAAAATTATCTTACTTTTCCTAACTAATCACACGGCTGTGTTGGAATGGAAATTTTTGCATATAATCCAGTTTCACTCTGGGATTTGGGCCCATTTTTCCTGTAACATCTTTATTCTGGATTACATCTGGATTAGCTGTTTTCAGTTTAATCCGGATCAGAGCAGAATGCAAAATCAGAAGTGGATTTCCTGAGGTGTGCAGTGTGTACCTGGGCTGGTGCAGGCTCCCAGCAGGTTGACGACGTTCAGATGAGGACCCAGGTAACCCAGAACCTTTAACTCGGACATCAGAGACTGGGCCGCATCCCTCTTGGCTGCAAAACCACAACCACAGGTTGAGACGCAGCTTTGACTCAGACACTCAGAGGGGGAGGACCTTACACTTCATGATCTTCACTGCAGCTTTTGTTGGCGTGTCAGAGCCAGTCAGACCAGAAACTGTTGCCTCTACAACCCGTCCAAATGGACCAGAACCCAGGACCTGACCTGCAGACAGACAGACACTAGTCTGACCTGACGGGGCGTTTGTGAGTGAACTGAATGCAGAGTTTCTGCCAGGCAGAGCCAGCAGGTGCTGGTGCTATGTACCAAGTGCCACCTGGTCTCTGGGGATCTCCCAGGCGGAGCTGTAGGGCAGGTCTTCAGGGTCCACGTAGGAACATGGCTGTCCGTCAGAACCTCCAGACTCCATCAGCTTCCAGTGTGTTTCATAGTGAGGCTTCTGCAGACATGAAGAGACCAGACTCCAGATCCTTTGGGCCGTAGCAGAGGTTTGGTAAATACTCAACTTGATGATCTTACTGACGTTTCTCCAGAGAGCAATGAGGATGATGAAGAAGATCACGCCTATGATGACCAGAACCAGAACCGCCACCAAGACAACCACCTGGGACAGAAGGGCTGGAAGATGAAGGACAGTGTCTTACATGGAGCCTCAACGGGAATATCAGTGTCTTCTCCAAGGCTTCTCAAATCTCAACCAAACATCCCTGATCTGCTCTAATACACCTTCAGGACACCTGAACCTCCTGCTTAGGTACCTTCCCATGTCTGACTAGCTGCTTTTCAGCTCAGTTTCAGGATCGACCTTCTGAGGTTCAGCAGCTGATGGATCCTCAACACCACAGAGGATTCAGCCTGGATCATCCTGCAGCGTGGTTCAGGTTGGAGGATTCACCCTGAACCACAGATGTACTCCGGTACTCCAGCAGTACTTACAGGTGCGAAGAACTCGCAGGTCTCGCGCTCGTTCTCCTGCTGCGTTCGTAGCTTCGCAGCGAACAGCCGACACAGAGTCCAGAGTTTTCAGAGTCAACACACTTTTTACCTGAACAGGTGACACACATGGGTGGTTAGCCATTGGTCAGTCAGCCCCTCCCACATTGTGATGATGATGGTTACCAGGGCTCCGTCTCCTTCTATCACTGTGGTGACGTCCTGTTCCAAGGCCCCTAACTGGCTCCTCCAACCGTCACTCAGATTACTGCACCTGCACCAGGAAAAAAATCAAAAGGTTACCATGGAAACATGGTCGTCATTTCATTTGTGTGTATGAGTATCTACCTGATCGAACGTGGACAGGTGTACCAGGTAACAGAAGGAGTTGGGACTCCCTCACTGACACACAGGATGTCTTTCTTATCAACTTCTGACAGAGACAAAATCCTTGGAGGAGCTGGACAAGAACACACTGGCAGGTGAACTCACAGATGGGTAAATACCCCCCAGGTGACCAGTCAGCACATCTCTCTCACCTGTGACCTGTAGGTAGAACATGACCTCCTCTCTGCTGTCCTCATTGGATGCAGTTGCAGTATAAGTTCCTGCCTGGTCCAACTGCACCTGATGGAGCGTCAGGGTGCTCACATACCTGCAATCAACCAATCATTCCACCAACCAGCCAACCAACCAACTGGATCAAATCTTTTAGAGTCTAAGGGAGGACCAACACCGTCTGATGAAGGAAGGACTCAGTGACTGTCCCAGCTGAGAACAGTGGACAGTTCAGCTGGATTCTACCTGAGAAGGAGAACTTTGTCACCACAGAGCTGTTCCCACCACATGTTGATGTGAGGACCCTGAACTTTAAACTCTGTGGTTCCTGACCTCAACCTGCCAGAAGGTTTCCAGTTCCTCTCCACTCAGCGCCAGGTCAGGTTACAGACCCGGATGAGCTGAAGGTGTGGACCTCCACCTCTCACTGCACTAAACTGATGAACGAATCTTTCCACATACCTGCTGCTGGTCAGGTGAGTGGTGTTGATGGAGCTGGTTTCCATGGCGATAGTCTGGTTTAGCCTGGACCAGGTGAAGGTGGGGGTGGGGAGGGCGTCACCCACTACCTTCAGCTCCACGGTGTGGTGGACGACAGACGAGATGTTGGTCTCACCTGAGGGCCACAGGTAGACGTAGCCTTTGTCTGCAGAGAGGGAGGAGTTACATGTACCTGTTCATGTGTCTGTGTGTGTGAACCAGGTTTTTATATCCTTATGGGAACCTATTTCTGTCTTCATTGTGGGGTTATGGGGACCATTGCTCCTTGTGGGGACATTTTCTTGATCCCCATGAGGGAAATTGTTGTTTTTGGATTAGTGGTTAGGTCTGTGATGTTTAGGTGTAGGGTAAAGGTTAAGGTAAGGGTTAGGCTGTAGAAATTAATGGAAGTCAATGTGAAGTCCCCACAAGTGATGAAAACATGACTGTGTGTGTGTGTGTGTGTGTGTGTGTGTGTGTGTGTGTGTGTGTGTGTGTGTGTGTGTGTGTGTTACTGACCCAGAACAGTTATTGTGATGTTTTTCCTCACGGTCCATCTAAACTGCGAGTCCTGAGCTTTGCACACATAAACACCTGCAGGAAACAGTCACCATGGTAACAAGCTGTCAACTAAAGCAACATCATCAGTTGCCATAACAACCTGTTGGTGTCAAGAGTCTTACTGCAGTGGCGTGTAAGATCTGATAGACCTGCTGAAACACATACCTGAATCTGACTCTGTTGCCTTGGAGATGTTAATGAACGAGCGAATTTCATTGGACAGGATGTCTGTCAGAGGTTCTACTTCCTGTAGAGAAACCATTCAGTTGTTTACTGAACATCACCGTTCAGATAAAAGGCAAAAATAAAAACATGGTGCTCTGGTTTTCATCTATGTTTAACTCTGAAGGTTTCCACGTACTCTAGTGTACTGAGATGCATGCCAGGGTCAGGGGTCCAACCCCCCATACACCCAGAACCTCTGTCATGACAAAGATGCTGTGACTCAGATTCCCTGAGTCCTCGGCTCTGTTCCACCTGCCAGATAACCAGGTTGCCTACAGCCGAGTCTAAGTCGTGACTCAGTGAATCAACTCCTACCTTTACACACCAGATTCAGAAAGCAGAAAGAAAGGATAGTCTTCAAGAGTCATTCTGCTGCTATTGACTCAGTACTGTTGCCATGGCTACCTGTCTGCGGGGGAAGGTCCATGTGAAAAAGGCCATGTCCACGTCTCTGACGGAGCAGTTCATGGTCAGGACCTCCCCCTGCTTCAGGACCTCGCTGGACACTGACAGCTCCATCTCCATCTGCTTCGGTTCTGAGGACAGACCGGAGACAGAGACAGCTGGTCACTACAGGTGGGTCAGGAGTTAGGGTTAGGGTCAGTAAAATGCTTTGGGTCAGTAAAAGTGTCCTTACCGAGGACGGTGAAGACATAGAAGACCTGGGACTCCTTCTCCTGGTCTCCGTCTGTCGCCACACAGACATGTCCTGCATCATTGAGGTGTCCCGTAAAGCCCAGAGCCGGCACGTATCTGACCCCGCCCACTGCAGTTCTGCCGGGTCGTTCGAACAGAGAGACGTTGAGCTTTGGGTCGGACACCACGCAGGGAATGGTACCTTCCTCTGAGTGCTTGTACACCTGGGAGGAACTCTGTGGGACGAACCACTGCTCTGGACCTGAGGAAGGAAACCAACAAATGGACTGAACATTTGGTCCGAATGATCCAACAGAACCTCACGGCTGGATGGAGAAACTTCTCTCTCACAGAGAGAGAAGATGGCCAGAGCAGGAGAAAATCTGAATAAACTTTGGGTTTGGAGAAGCTTCTGGAAGGTGCACATGTTTTATCAGGTAGCCTGGGGGTCCACCAGCTGTAGCTCCTGCACTACTGGTGAGGTTCAGTCCAAGCTGGACTACGAGTCAGTCTGAGGAACCCGAGGGCTATAAGGTCAAGAGGGTCCAGATGAAGCAGCCGGTTGAAGGGTGAAAGGATTCTGTTCCTCTCTCAACATCGGTTCACAGATGAGCTGCTGTGTCCACCAACACTTCTCCAGAACATCAGAGAGCTGCAACAATGTGCTTCATCAGGGCTTAATAGATCCCCCTCTGACCCGGCGGACCTCCCTCTGACCCAATGGATCTGCTAAAATTCTGCTGGATCCAGAAGACCTCCAGTTCTCTGACTGGTCTTCTGGGTTCTCTGGACTCACCAGTGCTTTAAGCCACTGGTTCCACTGGTTCTTCACAGCATCATGATGAAGCGTAAAACAGAAACTTGCAGGTCCAATCAGAGTGGTTCTGACTGGATCAGGGTGGTTCTGGTCCCTACTGACATTCTGAAACCCCACCAGGTTTCCTGCTCATGCACCTGTTGAGGACCGTTACCTTGTCCAGGTACAAAGACGTCCACTGCGCGGCTCTGATCGGCGGACGGCTCCTCACAGGTGTACCTGCCGGAGCTCCTCCAGGTGGCGCCAAGGAGCTGCAGGATGCGGCTGGAGCCGTCGACCTGTACCAGAACCTCTGGACCTCCGTCAGCGTCCTGAGGCAAGTGCCACTTCACCTCACTCCACCCTGAACACACCTGTGGACAGGAAGTCAGGCGGTACAGCAGAGACACTCAGCTGGATCTGCCTAGAGACGGGCAGGTGAAGCTCACCACGGAGAAGTTGGACTGTGATTGAAGGAGAACTTCTGTGGAGGAAGGTAGCAGCTCCAGGGCCACGCCACCTTCTGGACGGCTCAGGAACACACCTGGACAGACGGACAGGAAGCTCCGGTTGGTCAGAACCACAATGATGTGACGGAGAAGCCAGACATCCGGTAGAGGGTTCTACAGAACCGACCGTAGAAACCTGGTCCAGTTCCTTAGAACAGATAGAAGGCCTCACCTGGGAGAAGCTTCTTAAACTCACCCAGCAGGAAGTGCAGGAGGTTCAGACTTCCTGTTGTGGCTCTGATGGATGCCGTCATGGCTGCTGGTCCTGATGGACATTTCACAATAAAAGTCTGTTAGAAGCCGAGGCCTGAAGATGAAACTTTCAGACGCCTCCGACTTCAGCCTGAAAACCTGAAACTGATCAGATTCCATCAATCAGCTGATCAGCTCTGATCTGCCTGGCAGGATCCTCTAATCCAGATTAATCTGATCATCCCGACTGATCTGAGTGTTTATATCAGACCCAGGTTCAGACTCATCTGCCAGGTCGTTAACGAGCCTCTTAACGAGTCTATCAGGTTCTGATTCAGTTTTATGAGTTGAACTCATCTGCTCCTCTGACTCGTCTGCCGGACCGGGACTGGGTCCAGAACAGTTCCATCCCTGTGGTTCTGTTCAGACAGTTTGCTGAACAGAACCACAGGGAAAGGCCTGGTTCTGACCCAGATTCTGGTTCTGGCGGGTTTTCTTGGAGGCAGCGTCTGTTAAAGCAGTTGAGCTCCTTCAGACAGACGGGAACAAATCCCTCACTGTGCCGGAGGGCAGCCGTCCAATCAGAGCTCGTCCTGCTGGGGGCTCAGCCAATCACAGCTGGTCCTGGCTGAGGAAAGAATGTGTCTCGACCACAGAAGAAGAAAATAAACAAGAAGGTATTTCCTGTGGCTGCAGCGAGGAGAGAGAGAGCAGCTGCTATGTCCTCGTCCTCAGGTAACTTCTGTCCAGGTAACCTGCAGCAGCCAGTCACAGAGCAGTTGTGATGTCACTCTCACCTGGCTGTCAGTGCCCCATGTGACCTGTTGTCTGGCACCTGATTGGTTTAGACTGATGACCTCTGACCTGCAGACAGAGAAAGAAAGAGTGAGTAGAATCAGAAAAAGAACCAGCAGCTGTCACACCTCAGGACACGGGAAAGTGAGCTGAGGTCATGATGATGTCACGATGATGTAATGATGAGGTCATGTGACTCTCTGGGGTCAGCAGCAGATGCTCATGACGTCACAACGCCAGCAGCTTCCATCTTGGTCTCTGAGCTCACCAGGCCCAGTTGCAGAATCTCAGAACCTCCTTTCCTAGGTTCGGTTCTGGGTCCGGATCCAAGTCCAGTTCCAGTTACAGGTGCAGACGCAGATCTGGGACCAGCTCCGGTCCTGGTCCGGTCCATGTATTTGGAGCTGTCCATCCATCTTAGAACCTTTCAGCGGGTCCTGATGTCATTCTGTCAGAATAGTTTTGCTGGTTCTGGCAGTTCAGTCGGGTTCTTTAGGAACCTGGAGGTTCTGGATGACCAGATCAGAACCGCCAGCTGCTGATCTGGGACCAGATCCTCTGTGGATCAACTTCCTGACCGGAAACAAGTTTCAGAGCAGCGCTGGAGGGGATCGGATCAGAACCAGCACAACTCCACTCAGAGACTTTTCCTGCCAGACTTCCCGGGTTTAAAACCCAGAACCTCCAGCCATACCGACAGAACATCCAACTGGACCAGCAGAACCTCAGAACTGCAGAATCAGCAAAAATTACAGAAAGAAAAGTTAGAAACCTTCAGATGAAGCTCCACTCCTCGGTTATAGCGGATCTTCCTCACTGCTCCTCTTCCTCACTTCTCCTCTTCAGTCTGACTCTGATCCAGCTGGGCGAGCGAGAAAGAGAGAGAAGGTCTGTTTTCAATTCGCTCGCCTGCCCCGTCTCTCCTCTGACAGGAAGTGGGTCGGGTCTAAACACCAGTTTCTCCCTCTACCCATATGAGGACCTTGTATAGGATTCATTTCAGTAAACGTGTTTATCTGTAACCCAGACATTTTCCCTAAACCACCGGGTCAGTGCAGTAGAACTGGGCTTTGGGCCTCATAATGCCATCGGTCTTCATAAGAATAGAAATATACCAGAAATGGTCCTAACTAGAATAATTAAACCAGAACACTCTCTCTCTCACACACACACACACACACACACACACACACACACACACACACAAACACACACACACTCACACACACACGCACGCTCTCACACACATACACAGCAGCAGTGTGGGAGCTTCAGACTGACTTCAGTTCATGTCAGTGACTAAAGACTCTAAACCCAGGCTTAACTGAACCAGAATTACATGAGAGGTTCTGGTACTGGTTCTAGTCCTGGTTTTGTTCCTCGTCCTGGTTCTGGGTCCTGGTAACGGTCCTGGTCCTTGTTTTGGTCCTGGAGTGAAGCAGACTGTGCTGGCATTAGGAAACAGCAGGGGGCAGCAGATGGCAGAAATGCCTCAATGTTTTTTCTGTGACTGAACCCTGAGGAAGAGATTGGTGGAAATGTTTCTGAAATAACTGATCAGAAAATCAGATTTAGAATTTAAATGAATTCTGGCATTTAAAAGACTGAAATATAAAATACTAATAAAGTAAAACTTTTTCAAATAAATCATTTTCAATATTGCAATATTATAAAATGAATAGTTATAGCAAGCTATAACTATTCATTTGTGCGTACATCAGAGTCTACAGTCGCTGCATCCAGCCCAGAGGACTCCAAAGCTTCACATTCACCGTCTGCTGGTGGAGAGCGACTGGATGGTTCTGATCACAGGTTCTGAACCAGGTTCAGATTAACCCAGTTAGATCTGACAGAGCCAAGCTCTCTATCTGATGCCTCTGTGATCAGAACCAGTCGACCCGGATCCGATTGGCCTAACAGCAGGAACACAGTCCCGGTTCTGGTGCCAGAGAGATGGTTCTGCTTTTAGGCCAGATTCAGAACTACAATGACCCAAACCTGGGCCTGCAGGTGGTGCCACTTCACTGAGACCCAGGTAAATAAGGGGCGTGGCATAAATGGGCGTGGTCTGATGGGGGCGTGGCCTGACAGGGGCCTGGTCTAACAGAAAGTCAACAGATTAAATCTAGAACCACAGATCCTCTCTGGGTCGGATGTCTCACTCTGACGCCAACTGAAGTTCGCAGAACCGGACCAGTACAGCAGAACCTTTCAGACCAGCTGGATCGGGTCTCAGTGGAACTCGGACCTGCTGTCTGACAGGTCAGTCTTCATCACCATCATCATCATTATTATCAGCTCTCAAGGAGTTCTGCAGATCAGATCAGCGGGTCAGAACCACGAACAGCCTGAAGGTTCTGAAACTCCTGGACCGACACCAGAATCTGGAGTTCTGATTAGACACGGTATATACCCATACACACGCGCGCACACACACACACACACACACTCACACACACATGCACACACACACACTCACACACACATGCATACGCACACATGCACACACACACAGCAACATGACTTGGCACAGCTAGAGGAAGCTCCGCCCACATTCCTGCAACAGGTAGAACAGGTGAGGCCGCTCTGTGAAACCGTCTCAGAGGAACTGGCAATCCAGACCCAGATCAGCTGCTCTGGTGAAACGTCCTGTGTAAAGTTCTGATTCTGAAGGTTCTGAGCTAGCAGGTTCTGATCTCCCCCTCCGGATCAGAACCTAGGCTCTGTGGATCTCTGGATCATATTTTGTCTGGTTTTGATTCTGGAAACATCTCTGGACTCCTTCAGAAGTCCAGCATGTTAGACGGGGTTGTGGTTCGGTCCGGAGAGTTCTGCAGAGTGTGTCCTCACAGAGACAGAAAACCAGCTGCAGCAGTTTATTAGAGCAGAGAAGAATAGAGCAGACACACCTGGTCCACAGGTGAGCCACGGGTAGCAGTGCAGGTCCGGGGACAGACAGGTGAACCAGTGAACAGGTGAACTGCAGGTGTCTGGGAGCCTCTGAGGAGACGACAGCAAGGTAAGATCTGCTTCCGTTTCTCAGAAAAAGTTTACCTGTTCATGTGAACCACAGATCCAGAACCCAAACTGAGGGTTAGTAGAACATGGAGATGGGAGGTTCTGGGTTCTGTTGGCAAGCGGTTCTGTTGACAGGCAATTCTGACAGAAGGAGACACATTGCCCTTGCAAGAGTTAAACTGAAATCTGCTGATTAACTTTTTCGTTTAGAGAAATTGATTTAGTTTTTCCATAAATGTTAGAAGCTGATTGGCTCTAATGGACCATTGTCTCTGGGTCGGTACCACCTGAACTATACAATATGTGCTGGTACTGGTCCAGGCCTATGTGTCATACAGGAGTCCAGGTTCTGGTGATATCACAACCAACCACCAGATGACCCAGTAGAGGAGCTTCAGGTTCAGTTCAGGTTCTGGTTCGGTAATAGCTTCATGGTGGTCCAGGATGTTCTTCCATGTTGTTAGGAAACGTCTCCATGGAGACGGGATGGATCCGATCACTCAGGATCCAACTTGGTTCTCCTCATGTCTTCGCTTTATTGGTTCAGGGAAATGTCTGGCTCTTCCAGGTGTGTCTTCCTCCTGAGGAAGGACCTGGGAACAACCTTTGACCTCTCCCTGCCAGGTGTGTTTTCCTCAGGAAGGTCAGTGGTCAGCTCTGATGGGTCTCTGTGCTCTTGCTCTGCAGATGGCTCTGCCCCCTTCTCATCCGGTTCCAAAACCTCGGCTCTACTCCTCCAGCAGCTTCCCCTCCCTCCTGGACAGGTGAGCTCACCCGGAACCGACTGATCCACTGGACCGACTCGGGCCAACTCAGGCTGACTCAGACTTTGTGTTTTAGAGACCCGGCGCATGAAAACCTGCAGCTGACCTTCCCAAGAGGACAGCACCAGAGCACAGGTAAACACTCTGGTTCTGGTTCTGGTCTCACTGAAGGTCCAACAGGTTCACTACTCTAACTAGCAGGCATCTAATAACCTTTGACCTTCTGGTGTTCGTGCTTCAGCCATCTTGGAGGATTCAGAGCCTCCCTGCTCTGCTGAGTTGTGTCCGGATGTCCCTCAGGTCTCAGTTCTTGGCCCGCCGCTCTGACAGACCTGAACGCTGGTCTTTGGGTCCGGTCAGTCCGGTTAGACCCTGTGGCTCCTCTGGATCAGGAACAGATCAGGAACCTGACCAGGAACCTGAAGGTTAATCAGGAACAGATTAACCTGCCAAATTTGGGTCCTCTCGTGACAGGGGTGTCAAACTCCAGTCCTCAAGGGCCTCTGTCCTGCAACTTTTAGATGTGCCTCTGCTGCACCACACCTGAAAAGAATAATTAGGTCATTAGCAAGGCTCAGGAGAACCGATCTACACAGGGAGGAGGTAATTAAGCCATTTCATTCCACTGTTTTTTACCTGTGGCACATCTAAACACTGCAGGACAGCGGCCCTTGAGGACTGGAGTTTGACACCCCTGTCATTGTGAATGACAACCTGTGAACAACAGGTTAATCTTCAGGAACTGGATGAACAGATCCAATCTGGATCCGCTTTGGTCCGTTCACACTTCGCTTTAGTCCTCCATCTGATGTCGAACATGAAACTGTCCAACCTGCAGCATGTAAGCCTGGTCACATGACCCCACCTGGCCCATCTCCGCAGCTTTTCTGTTGATTTCAGGGTAATTTTTTAAAAATGTGGATCGCTGTGGTTTCCTCCATGTCTGATGTGTGGACAGCTATTGCTGTGACCTCGGCAGGTTGGTTCCTGCTGAGACATCATCATGACCTCATCAGAGTGTCATGGTGAGTCAGCTTGATGTAAACAGGAGTTTCCAGGTGCGATCTGATTGGTCCATCTGCCTGCGAGTCAATAGATGGACCTGATCCGTCCGGTTCTGGGAGGTTCTGTTCAGGAGCAAGAATCTTTCATCTGCAGCTTTTCCTGTCTTCTGCTGTGATGTCATCATCTGCCAGAACCAGACCGACTTTGACCCACCTGATCGGTTCTGAAGGACCACAGTTCCTCCTAAACCAGGAGCAAAACTGTTTGATCTGCAGGTTTAGTAGGAATGATCTGGGTTCCAAACCGGGACTGGAACCAGAACCCATGGCAGAACCGAACCTGGGCTCTGACATGAAAACTGCTTAGTTTTGGTTCTGATCCGGTAAGAGATTCTCTGAGCTGAATAACCGTCTTCGTTTCTCTTTCTTGAAGATAAAATCTGTGGGCCTCGCTTCTCCTTTCAGTTTGTTATTCAGAGGAGAGACTGGTCACATGACCCAGGCCGCCGAGGCCCGTCACAAGACTCAGGCTGATTGATTGTTCACCAGCAGCTGCTGACATAGACCAGCAGAACCGGTCTGACTGGCCGGCTCCAGCGATCTTTCTATGAACTAGTCTGTCCTCAGACGCTGTTCTGTTGAGCTGAGCCTGGTGCTCTGCAGCCTGAAAGGACCAGAACCAGGCCTGGAACCAGACTGAGCAGCAGAACCGTTGGCTCTCGGCTTGTTCTGAGAGGGAATCTGATCAGACATGGAATCAGACATCATGAAGTTACTAGACCCAGAAAATTCTGGTCCAAAACTTTACCAGGTCTCCATGAACTGGGTCTCCTCCACCCTGCAGACCCAGAAAGTTCTGGTGTCATCCTCCAGAACCTCTGGCCCAGTTCATCATCATGGAGTCGTTTGTTCTGGAAGCTCCATGAGGAATCATCCTGACAAACGTTGCCAGATTGTTCAGCTGGTTCTGGGACTGGTTCTGGTCCTGAATCATTAAATTAATTTCTCTCTGGTTCAGAATCACTTTGATCCGTTCAGACCAAGACCCATCTCATCAGAACCACATCAGAGCTACAAGCAGAACCAGAAGGTCTGT